GCCCCCATTGCGGGGGCATGACCATCTCGGAGTTGCGGACCAGACTCCGTTACCTGCAAGGGGGCGGAGTGCCCGTGCCACTGCCTAGATCTGGGGTTCCCTCTGGCGGCAGCCGGGGACGTCCTTTTTCTAGCAGTGGGCGGACTGGTCTTACGGTCATGGTGAGGAATTCCCCTCCGGGGATGCCCAAACCCACCGGCACTGCGAAACCAGCGGAGCTCTCAAAAGAGCAGGCTGGACCCTCCTGGGGGATCGGATGTCGGTTGCAGCATCGGAGGGTGAGCCGGACTTTTCCGGGGATGAAGATCCATCAGCATTGCTGCCCTCTGGGCGGTCAGCGGTGCCGGAGACGGACCCGGAGAGTGTCGGGCTCGAGTGGAATCTTCCACTGCGTCACGAACCACTCTTCCCGGAGGTGCATGATGAGAACCCTGGGTCATGGACGGCACCTTTCACTGCCAGAAACCAGCCCAGTGGCTCATCCTCCCTCACCACCCTTGATGAGGGTCCAGCGCGGGGGTACGCGGGAGTTCCCCCGGTAGAGCGGTCGGTTGCAATGCAATTGTGTCCAAAATTGCTGCCCTCTGGGCGGTCAGCGGTGCCGGAGACGGACCCGGAGAGTGTCGGGCTCGAGTGGAATCTTCCACTGCGTCACGAACCCTCAAGGTTGGACGATTGGTTTCTCGGGGTGGCACGCGCTGGTTCTCAGGGCCCTACCCCAGTGCCTTTCTTCCCGGAGGTGCATGATGAGAACCCTGGGTCATAGACGGCACCTTTCACTGCCAGAAACCAGCCCAGTGGCTCATCCTCCCTCACCACCCTCGATGGGGGTCCAGCGCGGGGGTACGCGGGAGTTCCTCAGGTGGAGCGGTCGGTTGCGATACAATTGTGTCCAAATGCCGCTACCACTTGGCGGGGCAAACCGTTGCTCCTCTCCCGGGCCTGTAGGCACTCGTCGGCCTTGATCGACACTGCTTATACGGCCTGTGGAGAAGCTGCATCCGCCTTACACTCTTCGGCGTTACTGCAAGACCTCGCGCTACGAGTGACAAAGGTTACGGTGCGGTCTCTGGGTCGTGCGATGTCCACTATGGTGGTCCAGGAGCACCATCCCTGGCTGTGTCTGACCGACATGCGCGAGACGGACAAGACAAGATTCTTGAACGCCCCCGTGTCCCAGACTGGCCTTTTCGGCGACACGGTGTAGAACTTCGCCCAGCAGTTCTCCGCTGCCCAAAAGCAGACTGAGGCCATCAGGTACATCCTGCCCCGGCGTGCAGCTGCTGCCTCCACCCGGCCGCCGGTGGCAGAGCCTCAGCCCGCTCGTCGCCAAGGGCGGCCCCCGGCCACCGCCCCCGCTCCCGCACAGCGTCCGCAGCAGCCTCAAGCAAAACTGCGCCGAGGCGCCGGCCGCAGGGCAGTCGCCCCACCCGTCCAGACCCCGCCAGACCTGGTGGTAAGTGAAAGAGCAAGAGGCCATAAGACGGGTGACCAAGCAACACTCCCTCCCTCGGAGGAGGGCCGGGTGGAGAATCTTTTATTTCCTTTTTTCTGCCACTGACCTCGCGGCCAGTGGTACCCAAATTAGCTGTCCCTGTTGCCCCGTGTCTTTACGGAAAGTTACGGAGGCAGCCCTTGTTCCCATGAGAGAACAGGGCATTCGCATTCTCAACTACCTCGACGATTGGCTCATACTCGCTCAGTCTCAGGATCAGTTGTGCGAGCACAGGGATTTGGTGCTTTCACACCTCAGCCTGTTGGGCCTTCAGGTCAACTGGGAAAAGAGCATACTCTCCCCGACGCAGAGGATCTCTTTTCTCGGTATGGAGTTGGACTTGGTCGAACAGATAGCACGCCTCACGCAGGAACGTGCTCAGTCGGTGTTGAACTGGTCTCCAGGCATGCTGTGGTTTGCACGGATGCCTCAACCACCGGCTGGGGGGCCACGTACAACGGGCTTGCAGTGTCAGGGGTTTTGATGGGGCCCCAACTGCACTGGCACATCAACTGCCTCGAGTTGCTGGCAGTGCACCTTGCCCTGGGCTGTCTCAAAGGGCGCTTAATAGGCAAGCATGTACTGGTCCTCAAGGACAACACAGCGACCGTTGCGTACATCAACCGACAAGGTGGTCTGCGCTCCCGTCACTTATCGCAACTCGCCCGCCACCTCCTCCTCTGGAGTCAGAAGCATCTGAGGTCGCTTCGTGCTGTTCACATTCCTGGGCTGCTCAACCGGGCAGCCGACGAGCTGTCCCGAGCTGCGCTCCTCAGAGAAAACCTGAATATGCGCTGCATCTGCTGCCTACTTATACTCACGCTGTGATCAGCAGCAGCTGGATGCAATAATCGTATGCCAATGTGCATTGGCTCGTTTAGTTTACACTCAAAGTAGATTGGTCCCTCTAAGCAAGATCCCAATTCGTCGGTCATCCAACGTGACGTCTCCGTTACCTCCTTCAGGGAACGAGGGTTACATACGTAACTGAGACGTTTGTTTTTGTACAGATGACATGCACCACAGAGCTGCATGCTGAAGCTAATCATGCAAATCCATTTCTTCCTTGTCATAAACATACATTTAGAATTGATTAACTAAATCTTAATGCCTAACCAATAATCACAACCTTGAGAACACAGCATTTATTCACATGTACAAGTGTTAAGGTCTTTGAAATATGACAAACAACCCTCTTCACAGAAAAGCAGGTAATTAATACTATTTAAAAGATTACTTTAATAACTAAAAAATTGTAAATTGCATGAAAACACATCACAGTTGACCCCAAAATAAAAAAGAAAAAGAATGTGAAAAGTCTGAAAGGTTAAAGAAAAATATCAAGTAAATATTTATGATATATTCTATGATAAGAAATAAAAACAAACAATATATTTACTAAAAGACATGTATTGTCTATAATAAATAAACATTTCATTTTACCTCAAGATAAATCACACTTGACCCCAAAATAAAACAAAAAGTAGAAGAAAATGGGAATATACATACTGTCTATTATATATTCAATGAAATAAAATAATTGTTTTGTCTATTTCTTTCATCTTTGAATTATCTTTATATGTTGTTCATCAGAAAAAAATAAATGTTTGTACATTTGTGTATGTGCAATAGTCATATTCATTTATAGCCTATGTAAGTAAATACATTTTAAAAAATTAATCTTTCAAAGTGCCATTTCATGGTTCAAAAGTCTTGCATGAAAACAAATCACATTTTACCCCAAAATAAAAGAAAAGGATAAAGAATTTGGGAATTTGTCTGAGAAATATGTTTAATTGTCATGACAATAAAGTGTGAAAGCAAAAAAAAAAACTGAAAAATGTAAGGACATTTTTAAACCAAGTAAAATGCCAATGTGCTAGAAGAAAAGATGTGGTTAAAAAATGCAAAAAGTGGAGTAAGGGTCAGTTAAGGATGAATAATTACCTCCAGCCAGTTGAAAAGCAGAGCTTAGGATGTCTAGTGAGCACACAAACCCATAGAGCAAGAGCAAGAGGAGAGGAATCCTCAGTAAGCTAATGAACAGTGAAGACATTTCTCCACGTCTGTCCTCGCTGGTCTTTGTGGGCACTAAAGAGAAGAGCAAAGCTCTTTAAATACAGTCTAATACATTTTCAGCTACACAATGTTCCTGACTCAATGTTGTCGATGTGCATGTGAGCTGATTTTTTTACATTGTTACTTTGTAGATTTAAAAATAAGCATTCTGGAATGCAAAAGCCTAAAACATTCAAACAGGACATTTGACTTTGACACACAATGGACTTTGGGAAGTTGTCCTATACAATTCAAACACAAACACATCTATTCTTTTATCATAAAACCCCTGCTTTTGCTGTCTTCTTTCAAATAAATTGTCTATATTAAGAGTGATATTGCCATATACAGTATGTTATCATGCAATATATCATTTTTGCATACTCTCTGGGTAGATAAAAAATGCGAAGTTTATAACATATCCCCATAGTAAAACTTATATACACATATTCTTCTAACAATATCCATATGATGATTATTTAAATGGTATTATATGTAGCAACCATATACTGTACACTACAGTATGTCAACAATATATATATATGCAACTTCATTAAAACAAGATATACACAAAATATCTGTGTTTGTGACTTTGTAATGATTTTTTTAAATGTATGTATATCTTGTATATCTACTAATATCAACATGTATTGATGGTTTTAGGATGGATTTACATGTACATGACATATGTCCAAAAATACAGTATATACATAAACATGCATATTTGTTAATGTATAAAATTGTTCAAATTTTGAATACATTTCATACATGTTTTTACTTCATATGAAAATATATTTAATATACAGAAACGTAATATATGTACATATGTTACATTTGCCTTTGAGGTTTGGGGCCAGTAAAGATTTTAAAAAATGTTCAAAGAAGTTTCTTATGCTAACAAAGTCTGCTTTTAATGTATTAAACATTCAGCATAAAATAACTGAAAATAATTACCGGAATTTAAAATAACGCTCTTCTATTTTTATAATATAAAATGTAATTTGTTACTGTGATGCAAAGCTGAATTTTCAGCATCATTACTTTAGCCTTCAATGTCACATGATCCTTCAGAAATCATTCTGAAATGCTGATTTGATGCTTAATAAACATTCTTACCAACGTTAAAAACTTGACAATTTAACTTGAAAAATAAATGTCTAAATGTTTCTGACATCTTACCATTGAAGGTGATAGTTTGCTCTGCAGTGGTGATTCTGATTGGCCGTGAGGACATGTTGCAGTCTGTGTAGAGATCAAAAGATATTTCATAACCATTTCCATTTTTTCTTTGACTAAGGTGTTCAGTTTTCCCCCCCATTCAAAGGTTACAGTTACAACAGATGGTTTGCATATTTAAATGAATATGCAAATGATAATAGTCTTCTACAGCATTCAGATTTTAAACAACTCTAGGATGAATACATAATAAAAATGTTCGTTTTGGGTGAACTACTCTAGTATTTGTTCAAACAACATCTAAATGAATAACCTGCTGTCATTTCAGATCCATTATTGTCTACTTAATTTATTTCTTAGTGGCTTTTTCCTGACGATCTTTCAAATAAGTGAATGTTTGGCAAGATAGTGAAGATGACAACACATTTGTGGTCCCTCACGGCCGCGTTTCCATCTGAATGCCTCCACAGCCATCAGCTTTGTTTCACAGGTGCTCTGTTTTAATAACAGGTAAATGTGCTTTTTATGTCAAGGTTACTGTCGAACATGCAGTCTTGTCTGGAAAGCGCTCTCACAGGACCACATAGGCTACTAATGCGGTTCTGAAAGCAGGAGCTCTTGAATGTTAGAGCAATTAAAGTGAATGACAGATTATGTTCTTGTTCAGCTTTCTCTGTTTGTGGCTCTCTGTGAAGGAACACACATTTAATCTGGGTTTTAGTTAAAGCAACTGTGTGGAAGTTTTATTTTCTACTGTGAAATATCAGTTTCAAAATCATTCACTGACTTTTAATATGGCGAATAGATTGGGTTTCTTTCCTGTGGTGCTCTGAGAGGATGTTTGGTGAGCGGGTAAATTCCATGAAAATTGCAGATTGCAACAAATGCAGCTGTACGGGGGGAAAAAAGCGTCTTAGAAGGGATCAAATCACCCAAAATTTTGTCATCATTTACTCACCCTCAAGTAGCTCCAAACTTGTATGAATTCCCAAATATTGAAGAATATTGGTAACCAAACAGTCGATGGACCATCTGCATTGTATGTGATGTGTATGTATTAACTATTTATTTACTTATTTATTTAGGAAGGCAAAGAGGACCAGACACTTTTTGGTTACAAACATTCTTTAAAACTTCGGAACATTTCCGAGTCAAAATACATTTGTAATTTATCATGACTGTTACTGATGCTTAAAACCGCAAGTAAATGAATCTGAATGTTTATATATTTGTAGAGTAAAATAAAAAACAATATTTTTGCAACATAGGTGCTATTAATTTACTATAATTAATCTGCAAAGTCAAGATGGTGGTTTCTTGTTAGATGCAATGGTTTAGAATTGAAGTGAGATGTCAAAGCAAATACATCATTTAATTTTGTGTTAAACTCTCTGTTTTTACTTTTAAGCTCTAAAAGTGTGCTATTATTGGCCTACACATTTTTTCCCTGAAAGGAGTAACATTTTGTGTCAATTTCAGGACAAATTGCTCTGTACTTTTGAGCATCGCAACAAGCCCAAAACTGCAATTTGGGGTGAAAATATGTGCTTCTGGAACTATTAGCCAATGACAAATTTGGAAAATATTACAGTGAACATCATTAAACTATATCACAATCAAAGTGCACCCATGCAGTGACATTTCTGATTATTTTAGCTAAATCATTGTACTGTATTGTGGCCCATGCATGGGCAAGACTTTGAGTTTCCCTGCTCTAAAACATATGTTTTGCGATAAACCAGGCCTAAACACTGGTACATTTGCAGCAAACACATAATAAACTCAAAGACACCATTTCATTCTCAGCTGCATCACTGAAAGAGTTCTGCATTTGGAGCCTGTGCTCTCACACTGACCTGCTTTTGTACAAATGGAGACGCACATGGCATTAAAATCTCGCCCTTATCAGCACAAGAGCACAGCAAGCGACAAAATCACGAGATGGCTTGCGCAATGCCATTCTGAGCACTGGACCAGGCTCTCCATTGTGACCCTGAGAGCCAAATATGGTTTTATTGAATGCAAGCCTGCCACAACACTGCATGAACTCAATCAGAAATACGTGCACAGAACAACAAGAGTCCTGAGAGTGCTTTCTTTAAAATAAATGTCACTTGTTTGTTATCTAATGCGATGACAAAGACATTTTAAAGTGTTCAAATGTGTTTTGGGGTCACTATATACACTTGAAGAAAAAAAAACACGAGTGAAAAAAAACTAATATCACTCAAAAATTGATGATAAATATCACGATTACAATTAAACGGCACGTAAAGTACAATAGAAAGACTGAAATAGTATTTTCTTGTAAAACATACTTCAATAATCTGTTTTATTTATAACTTATATTTTAATATATGTGAAATGTAACAGTTACTATATCTCCATAGAGGGTTGCAGTGAATATTTGGACACTCTAGCTTTATTTTAGTCTACTTTGTTTTACTTGTTTGAATTTTTTAGTTAAAGTCTGGTTGTGTTTTGTCATCTCTATACATTTTGTATGATTTTTATTTCCGTTTTAGCTATAATATATCAAGTTAAATGAGAAATGTAATTATATGTGAAATTTACAAGCAATTTCTGAGTGAAGACCAAACTTTTTTCAGTGTATGATAACTCACTGTAAAATCTCATTTCATCTTCCTGAAAAGGTTACTTGGGAAACAATAACATTTTCTAGTTTATCTGACTTCCTCGATCTCGTCAACGCAGGTGAACTTTTGAGACGCTGCCAGCTGGCATTAGAGCCATTACCTCAGGGCAACAAAACAAGTTTTGGTGTAGAACTACTTTTGTCAAATGCTTTTGCAGATCTTCACTGTACTAGGTTGTAATTATATGTGAAATTTACAAGCAATTTCTGAGTGAAGACCAAACTTTTTTCAGTGTATGATAACTCACTATAAAATCTCATTTCATCTTCCTGAAAAGGTTACTTGGGAAACAATAACATTTTCATTATCTGACTTCCTCGATCTCGTCAACGCAGGTGAACTTTTGAGACGCTGCCAGCTGGCATTAGTGCCATTACCTCAGGGCAACAAAACAAGTTTTGGTGTAGAACTACTTTTGTCAAATGCTTTTGCAGATCTTCACTGTACTAGGTGTTAGACATGTACACACGTACACACTGTGCAAAACATACTGCCCAAGTTTGATCTTTAAAGTTATGGGTTAATTAAATTATATGAGTAATAGTGACGCTTAAAACACAACAACTAAATTTGGCAGTTACTGAAGATTAAAATCTGGACCAAGTATTGGAGCAAAATGAATGGTTTTAGCATTAGCTCATGGAGCTGTGGTCAGTTGTCAGTCGTGTGTGGTCTGGTCAGATTAATTATTGTGGAGAGGCCTGCAGTGTCAGCAGTCAGACAGCTTGATGCACCAGTTGACCTCTGAAAAAATGTAATCTGAGGACAACCATTAAAAAAATAAGTCTAAAAAAGGGGTTGCAAGTGTTGCCACATTCACTGTACACAAATTGAGTTTGGTTATTTACAGAAATGGGAACCGTATTTAAAAACTGAATTCACTCTTTAAAAAATGCAGTTCGTGAGAAATTATTCATTAAATCTGTGTTGTAGAAGCACAAACAGGCTGCTTAAAAGCTGTTTTAAAGGATTAGACCATCCAAAATGTAGATGTGTTTGTTTTCATCATTGATAGATTTGGAGAAATGTAGCATTAGCTCACTTACTCACTGACGGATCCTCTGCAGTGAATGGGTGCCGTCAGAATGAGAATCCAAACAGCTGATTAAAAACATCACAATAATCCACAAGTAATCCACATGACTCCAATCAATCAATTAACATCTTGTGTCGTGAAAAGCTGTGTGTTTGTAAACAAATCCATCATTAAAGCATTTTAACTTCAAACCATCGCTTCTGGTCAAATTACAAGACCATAATCAATAATAACCCACTTAATGGTTTAAAACTGTTTTAGACTGTCTTCACATGTAAGCGGTACTTAATCTGTGCATATTTCTCTCCTGATTCAGAAGAGATTACTTTTTCACTGAAGAAAGAAATATGGATAAAGGACTGGTATTTTAGACAGAAGAAACCTCCTAACGAATTCACAAGGCATTAATTGATGGACTGGAGTGGTGTGAATTACTTGTGGATTATTGTGATGTTTTTATCAGCCACCAGTTGACCTCTGAAAAAATGTAATCTGAGGACAACCATTAAAAAAATAAGTCTAAAAAAGGGGTTGCAAGTGTTGCCACATTCACTGTACACAAATTGAGTTTGGTTATTTACAGAAATGGGAACCGTATTTAAAAACTGAATTCACTCTTTAAAAAATGCAGTTCGTGAGAAATTATTCATTAAATCTGTGTTGTAGAAGCACAAACAGACTGCTTAAAAGCTGTTTTAAAGGATTAGACCATCCAAAATGTAGATGTGTTTGTTTTCATCATTGATAGATTTGGAGAAATGTAGCATTAGCTCACTTACTCACTGACGGATCCTCTGCAGTGAATGGGTGCCGTCAGAATGAGAATCCAAACAGCTGATTAAAAACATCACAATAATCCACAAGTAATCCACATGACTCCAATCAATCAATTAACATCTTGTGTCGTGAAAAGCTGTGTGTTTGTAAACAAATCCATCATTAAAGCATTTTAACTTCAAACCATCGCTTCTGGTCAAATTACAAGACCATAATCAATAATAACCCACTTAATGGTTTAAAACTGTTTTAGACTGTCTTCACATGTAAGCGGTACTTAATCTGTGCATATTTCTCTCCTGATTCAGAAGAGATTACTTTTTCACTGAAGAAAGAAATATGGATAAAGGACTGGTATTTTAGACAGAAGAAACCTCCTAACGAATTCACAAGGCATTAATTGATGGACTGGAGTGGTGTGAATTACTTGTGGATTATTGTGATGTTTTTATCAGCTGTTTGGACTCTCATTCTGACGGCACCCATTCACTGCAGAGGATCCATTGATCCATTGGGGGGGGGGGTACTTTAATGCATCTTATCTTGAGACTTGTTGCTAGCATACTTTGGTCAGAAATTGCTTTCATTTTACAAACTGCACAGATTTCATGTAACTTGTTTACAGGTGTGAGATGCTGTGAGGGCGACTCAGTCACTTCATCACTGAACTTTAGCATGATGAGTGGTTAAAACTTTATTAGCACAAACTGTTTAACTTATGGATACTGTAAGCACTTACACAACATCTTCAGCTGACTCATACTGTATGTCAGGTCTGTTCAGCTGATGCCAATAAATAAGTCAACGAATGAGCGTCTGACACTATTTGACTTACAGGGGCCCAAATACATGAGAGAGCTAGTGTGGAGTGAAAAACGTTCGACAAACATACCATTAGACTGTAGAAACAAGCCAGCATTACGCGTTCTTAGAAGAGAATGTGCTGTAACTTTCAGAACACAAAAGAAAAAAAGAGCATTTATCAAAACTAAATTGAAAAAATGACTAATTTTGATATCTGAGGGATTCTATGGAGCCCCTAAAAAGACAAGATGGTTTTAAAAAAATTGCATTTACTCGTAAAACTTTTACTTTTTGTAAAACTTTTTGTGTTTGCTCACTAACTTTGTTTCCTATAACTTTTGTGATGCAAAATGCAAAAGCATTCAGTATAAAAGCATTGAAATATTATTCTTCCATCACAATGTCCCTTTAGGGGCTCTGTAGATTTATGATGTCAGACACCCAAAATATTAATATGACTGTCAAAATTTACACACTAACAGCAGCACCTACTGGCTGCGAAGAAATTGTCCTGCCCAATTATGATGAGGTAATAAAAAAATAGCCAAGATACTATTAATTTAAACAGATTTTAATTTAACTTGAGCTTCTTTACTGTAAAAGAAGACATGCCCTTATGTTCATAGTGAAAGCATTGTATTTATAGAATTTGTTTGTGTTTGTATCTGTATTGTCAGTGTACAGAGATGCAGACTGAA